TACCTTAAGTTAATTGGAGAGTCTTGTCATATTTTATAATCTATTGACCACCAAATAGTTTGTCCAATATTATCCCAACATTCCATTCACCGGTTTCCGTTTTATTATTATTATTATTATTATTGTTATTGTTATTGTTATTATTATTGTTAATTTCACCTTCCCGTACTATTGTTGTTGTATTTGTAGTTGGAGCAGCATAGGCCAAATGTTGTCGTAAACGATCTTCTAAATTACCATTATTTGTCAACAACCTTGTTTGTTTTGGCGTTGTTGTAGTTAATGGTGGTGGTGGTGAGATAGGTTGTGGAATAGTGGGTGATTCATCAGATCCAATATATTGTATGGTTGTTGAAGTTGGAGATCTTATAGGTGATGATGCGGATACATCTGCCAACAAGCCCCTTTCATTACCATCACCGTGACGATTAACAGACGCTGATATTAATCCATTTTCACTACTGGTTAATCGTCTTTTATCATGAAAAGGTTCTGCACTAACGTTCCTACCAGTCAGTGTCCCGAACTTCTTCTTCCCACTTGCGCTGTCCACTAATTTCCCGACTTTCTTCTCTGCTATATTCTTCTTCCCTAGTATAGTATCGTTCCCACCACCACCTCCTCCAAAAAAAGAAACAACATTCCTTCTTAACATTGAACCAACTGTTTCATTATTATCCCTTCTCTTTGAATCTCTTAATGTGTTTGGCGCGTTAGTGTAAGATTCCAGATTCCGATCCGCAAAATATGAATCCTCGGCAAAAGTGTCAATGCTACCTACAGATATATCGCGATCATGCAAAAAATCTACTGATAATCTTCGACTATGATGACGAGCAGAAGTTGGTGGTGATTGAACTTCTTTAGATCCTCCAAATAATACCCGACTAAAGTAGGCACCAATTCCATCGTCACTACTTTGACTATGCCTTCCTCTTTCTCTCATTTCCATCGTTTCTTCTTTTCCACTCTGCAAACTTCTGTCAAACTCTTCTTCCGCTTTCCGTCGACACGCTTCAACTTTCTGAAAGTATTCAACTTGAACTTCATTAATCATCATCCGTAACTTGCAAACTTCAGTTAAAAGGTCTTGCATGAAATGCGTTAATGGTAAGAAATTTTCGGGAGAAAATGTGAATAAATCTTTTTGACTAGAATTATCATCGGAACTATAACCTCCATGACCTTCCTTTCCATCTGTTTTAATTCCTTCAATTTTGCGTAAATCTTCAACCCATCGAAATCGTTCCCTAAGATTTTCAACATCTACTAAAATGTTTTCAATTAAATTGTTACTTAAACTGCTTAATTCTAATATATCAAAAGTTCTCTTCAACCGACGGTTCAAAGCTAAAAGGTCTGTGCCTTTAAGACGATCCATAATAGAATTGCCAATATTAAAGAGTATTTGGTATGGATTTTGCTGTTGCGGTGATTCAGGTTGGTGAGGGTCGGCTTTACCTTCGTTAGGGCTTTGAACCATTATGGAAGGTACATGGAGTGAAGGACGTCGCGTTGCCGTTGAAGCATGACGAGAATGGGTAGATTTTGCTGAAGTTGTTAAACTATTCTCAACTTCATTAGCAAAAGCGGCAGCTTCAGCAGCGGAAACATTAGCTTCATCGACCAATACTTCTTCAACAAATTCTTTAATAGGCGAATTCGTTGAGTCCATCCGACTCTTACCCTTAACAGTTTCAACATCACTACTATTATCTTTAGAGGAGATGTCATTTTCTTCATAAATATCCCCACCATCTACATTACAAAGTTGTTCTTTTGCGACACCAGCGCGCCACATTTCCATCATTTGTTTACGTTCTATAGGTCTTAAAGTCGCAAATTTTGGATTCTTGAAAGCAGGTATTGAAGGTTTTGTTGAAATATTCTTTAACTTTGGATTCGCGGCGGGCGAATTAGAAGATTGAGATATTTTTACCGATAATGAAGATGGGGTAGCAGCAGATGCTCGACGATTGACAGCCAACGGTGAAGATTGTGAAGGTTTGTGCTGTTTCAAACCAGGAGATGGTATGGTTCTTCCACCACTTGCTCGTTTCGCAGAATAATTTGGAACTGAAGTAGCATGATGATAAGAGAATTTAGAATCACTTTTCCTTTTAATAATACCACTCGGAGGTTCCCTGGTTATTGATTTGTCACCTTTTAGTTCATCTTTAGAATTTTCAGCAGCTGATTTTTTGAGACTGGCAGATAATAAGGAGACATTTTGTTTTTGAAGTGAAGTATTTTGAACTGGTAAAGAAAATGCTCGCATCTTCTTTTTTCCTTGACTTTTAGTTGGCTTCGACTTGGATTCCTTCTTTGGTTTATCCGAATATTTTTCGTCTCCCTAATGTTCAATGAATGCCAAAAATAAGAAACCAAAGGGAGAAGAAAGTGTCTGGGATGAGGAATAAATACCAGAATTGGCTTCGGTAAACTCAAAATTCAACAAACTCCAACAAACAAAAAATAAAACCCAAAAATACGCTTAAATTATCAACAAGTTTCCCATTCAGAGAAATAAAATAAATGACAAACCTCGGGGTTTCTTTCTTCACCACTATCATCACTGTATATAATATCGGATTCTGAAGTTTCATTATAATTTCTTTCATACTTCTTTTCGGTGGTATCGGATTGAGCACCATCCTTACGTAGTTCTTCATCCTCTTCACAAATTTCAAAAAATGCTTTTTTACCTTTCCTATTACCGCTACGTTCAGACTTTCTAACACCCTTATGTTTTGTCTTTTTCATTAGATATTTTTCGAGTTCTCCAAATACACTACTTCCTCGAACTATTTCCGCATTTTCATTGGGGTAATGATAGTAATGATGATGATGATGATGCTGTAATGGATTAGAACTAGATAATGCTGAAGTTGAAACAAGCGAGCCAACAGGTGAATGAGCCGAAGGATCTACGCCTAGGCTATTGAACGTATTATAGGAAGCATGACTAAATGATGATGATATAGGAGACATATGAAGATGGATTGGCTTAGTGGAAGATCCAGATGGAAAATTTGAACCTTCCCCATTTTCTTCAACTTCAACATTAGAGGAATTCTCGCCTCCAGTTCCCATTCCCTTTTCATCCAACACATGTAGAGGAAAATTTGGTTTAAAAGGAGAAACAAATGCAGCGGAACTTGCATAACTAGCAGGATAAGCGTAACCAGTTGTACTTGCAGTTTCCATATCTTCAATACGATTTTGTAAAGTGCTAAGTTCATTTCTGGATTCTAATAGAAGTTCACGATATTCAGAATTCTCGGATTTTAATTTATTATTTGCAGATGAAAGTTCTTTAATTAATGCGATAAGATGGTTATTTGCTTCATTATTTGAAGGAGAGGACTAAATAAACAAAATATATAATAAAATAAGATATAATACGCGTGTGTATAAAAAATCATTAAGAAAATTTGATTACCTTATAATTTTCTTTGGTTTCACGAAGCATAGCAACGGCCTCCAACTTTTGTTTCGATTTTTTTGTTTCGATTTGTTCCTTTTTTAGCTTTTCATGTTCACTATAAAGTTGGTCTATGAATGAATGAATGAATGAATAAATTGATTATAATCTATATAGTTAATTTTTTTTTTTTAATAAAAAACCAGATTTGAAATGTTTACCAAATCTATTTTTCAATTGTTTAACACTCATTTCAGCTGCAAGTTCCGATTTTCGAGAAACCGCTAATTCTTGTTGTAAATCTTCCAATTGTCTACTTAGCATTTCTTCCCTTTCCTCACTTCTCTCTCCTTTAATATTACTGGCCATTAATCTCTTGATCTCGTTGTCACGTTCTTTTAATTCTGTATTTAGATCCCGAATCATTGAATCATGTTTATCAAGAGCGGTTACTAAAATACCATTTTTCTAACAAAAAAAAATAAAAAGGAGGTTAGGTTTATTTTGATATGATAGCGTTATTTTATTTTAACAACTTTTTTTACCTCATCCAACAGATTTTTCTGTCTCAATGCGTCATCTCTTTCTCTTATTAGTGCCCTTTGCGTGTCTTCAAGCTCGAACACTATGTCCTTGAGCTCTTGAACACTTTGTTCCGAGCGCGCACACTATATGAAAAATAATGAATGAGACATAAATTTCCAAATTCGGTCACTGTAAAGTTTTGCTAATTTTTTTCAAGTATACCTGATTTTCTAGTGCTGATCGGAAATTTTCCATTTTTTTTTGATCTAATTCATACTTTTGTTGTTTTTGTAAAAGAGCTTGTCCAACCTCTGAAAAAAAAAAGCATATAATGAGTTTTATTAATAACGATCGTTACGATTACTTTATCTGATCAAGATTATTTTCTTTTCTTTTCTTTTTTTGTACAATGAAGAAAACCTCACCAGCAGCTAACCTTAACTCATCTTCCAATGAACGAGCGCTTCTTTGAAATGCTAACTGGTTTTGACAAGTTTCTTTTCTACAACAACATTGAAGAGGTACAGGAGATCTAGGAGTAGGTGAAAAGGTCTCCCAAAAAGAAGACCCAGAAGTGTTATCAAACCGAGTCACACTATTTAAGCGGGATCGCGGTGCTGGTGGATTAATACTTTCGTCGTCACTATTGGATTCCGTCGCCTGTTGAGCTTGCTGTGTTGACAACAATCGACGAGATAAATCTGTGGGATTTGGTACAGAGCCGCCCAGCCTTGCGGTTGGGCTGCCCGTACTATGGTATTCCATATCAACTTTTCACCAGGTATAAAATATCAAAGATTGGACAAGAGTAGGTAGAAATTTTATTTAGGGTAAATTATGCAGTTGGGTTTGTGGTAGACAGAAACACTGAGAGAAACTGTGAATCTATCACCCCAACGCTTAAAAAAAAAATAATTTTTTTTCTTTTGACTATTTCGTCCCTTCACGATATATAATATCTCTTCTGTATTGAAGGAAAAAAAAAAAAAAAAAAAAAAAAAAATTTGGCTATTTTTTACAAAAGGTAGAAACATAGGGATTTTTGAACATTCTAAGTTGCCAGATTTGCTTGTGGAACCGCCAACTTCTGGCGCTATAACAAATAAAGTCATGGACTGAACGGGAGTCTCGTTCGGTTGTTCAGGGATAATGTCACACAACCCACATTTTTTACATGGTTATTTAAAAGTTTTTGAATGAGGTTAAAAATCTCGGATTTCGCCTCTATGTCCCATATTCGTCCTTCATTTTGTAACACTAACATCGACATCATACCATTAAAAGAAATTTTAACCCCAAATCCAACCTCCTTTTCTATTCGTCGTGTAACATGTTTGATTTCAAAAAAAAAAATTTTATTTTTTATAGTTTGAGATATAATACAGATTTGAAGGGTTTTTATTTAGAACCCTTTAAAAAAAAAAAGAAAAATTATAAACATATTTAACTGCCTTATTGAATTATTTACTATTAATTGGAAAATGCTTCATGTGCTTTTTTACAATTTTTTAAATTGTTCTCAAGATCAATTGTATAACACACAAAAGTTGCATCGACTCTGCAAGATATTATAAAATTGTTAATAATTTTGTAAATAATAAATTAATTTAAACTAAACAACTTACGTGTTCATCATAATGTGTGTATAAAACTGCGAAATATAATAAGGAACGATGGAAGCTATAATTCCAACAACATATCCATATGGTGATTGAAGTGTATGTGTAGCATATATAAAGGTAGCAAATCCACAGATAAGTGCAATGATTAGAGATCCGATATATAGAATCGATTTGGCTGCATAGTCTGAAATATAAGACATGTAAATGGTCAACAGGATATTTTAAAGGAAAAAAAAAAAATCTCTAATTTATTAGAATTCTCACCGCTTACTAGTCCAGAAACAAGATTACCACGAAATAACTTGGTTGTCTTATGTGCTGAAGAACAGAAATTCTTACCATACATGCCTACGTAAATTAAAGTGTAATTGTTCAAATTGTCTATGATACCATCAATGAATGTCAGAACCCATGATAGACAACAAAGAACCGAGCTATTTTTGAATTTCTGTATTTAAAAATAATAATAAATAAACTTTTTTCACAAGCGAAATATACTTTAATTTCATTCTTACTTTTTTCAAAAAATCGGTAAAACTTTTAATTAATTGAATAGATGCAAGAATAAGCCCTCCAAGACAAACTGTTCCAAATGAAACTGTCGTTGCGTTCAAAAAGGATCTATCTGTTACTTCCTTATTTCGATCTGAGTCATATAAATCATCATAATCATTCCTAAATAAAAAAAAACCAATATGAGAATCTTATTATATTCAATATTCAATATGACGGGAAAATTGAATATATAAATCATATGATTATCCTAATGTAATTTTTTTAAATACCTATAAAAATACCAATTTGATACAACTCCAGATAAAGTTACTTTTTGAACATTACTCAAAACAGCGGAAGTCCATAAATACATAAAGATGAAATACAAAATGAGTAGATATGTATTTGGCTCTAACTTCCAAATATCTTCTAAATGCAAATAACATAATCAATATAAAATAAAAACTAATTATATAATTAAAAATATAAAACAATAATAACCTGAAGCAATCTGCACCATATGTCCAACTAGAAATACATGACTAAATAAATATAACCATAATATTGTAAAGAAGACATAAACAATAAGAATCTTGAGCGAAATCCAAAACATTTGCGGATTATCTCTAACTATATCGATTGCTAGTTGAATAAGTGTTATTGTCCTTTCGATTTTTTTTCGGTGAGTAAAAAGAATTATTGAATATACAATGAATATAATCAATGGAATAAATGATAACACCGCAAGTGCATCATCCTGCGGATCAGGCTTCTCTGAATCTCGAAGAGCTCCCGAAAATGCTTCAACTCTAGTCCAAACGAACATCGCGAAACAAATGAATGGAACGGCTGTCAAAGTTCCCCAAACTATGATCTTGGTAAATGAACGAAGTAATAATATCCATATTACACCCATAATTAGAGAGAAAAATAAGGCAAATAAAAGTGGTCCAACGCTATCTTGGATGACAAAAAATACGGATCCATGTGAATAATCCTTTAAGATGTATGACTATTCAAATGAAATTCATTTAGAAACGGTTAGGAATTATATTGTTATTTATTAGCTTATTAAAATCATAAATTTACAAAAAGAAGTTACTTACATTGGTTGTGAATATCAGAAATATACCAATAGCTAACATCATTATTAGTCCTATACAAAAAAGGATCGCAAATGCTGGATCTTTATATTTTCGGTGTAAAACGCATGAAAGTAGATTTGGCGGTATCTAAAAGCCCCGTTATTTATTGAGTAAACAAAGTCGATTTTTTTACTTCAAGAATAGTATAAAAAGATTCTTACCTTTTCTGTGAGAAGAAGTTCCTCCGAAAGTGGGTTATTAGTAGCTTTAACTGTGTGATTAGAAGGAATGTCTAGATAAATCTCTGCCGCAGCCTGCAATTGTAACAATGTAAGTTTCAAAGGTTTGACAAGCAAGAGTATATTTCTTTCTTTACCTGCTTATTGGAATAGAACCTAGGAGATTGTACAGATAAAAACGCTGCATCAGGCCCGTTCTCTTGTTCGTCTTCGTCCTCATATTGATTATACTCTCGCACCTGAGAGGTTTGAAGGGATATTGACTCGTGAATTTCTGCTTCTGTTGGTAATGTTGCTACGGAGTAGAATAATGACGCGCCTGGCTCTTCAGAGGCTTCCGATGTGACAGAATCTCTGTTAGTTTTAAACCACAAATCTTTTTTATATTGAGAAAACATGGAAATATCGGTTTGGTTTATACGCATAATACATTTCTCCGTGTATTATACTTTATTTTACCATAAAAAATCCACACGTGATATGATGTAATGGTGTAATACAACGCACGTGTTAAATAAATATATTTTACAGTTTATAAAAATACATTGAATTGAATATACATTTAATCTAATTTCAATCTTCCTCCCCATATTCCGCTGTAAGCTCACACATATGATGAATAATTCTAAACGGAATAACCAAGTCCAAATACAATTGCATGCTCGCACCCAAATATTCGTCTTTGCTCATTTGTTTCATCAAATACCACGTATCCAAAATGAAATATAAACTTAAGATCCATGCAAAGGAGAATGCCGGAATCAAATCAGCAAAACTGAAGAACCAAGGATGAAGTATAAAGGAAGCTATAAGAATCATCACCGAGGTAATAATTCTATATAAAATGATAAAGATATCCATTAAGAAAAATTACCAATTAAAGAAGATAACAAAATAAATAAATATATATATAAATACATGGGTTCTTTCGCTCTAAACTTATAAGATGTTTGATACGTAAATGCAAGCACCGAAAAGCTCGCCACCAGCATCAAAATTAAAGTATCGAGTACGAAAGTCAATCGAAGAATAGAAACTAATATGATAGAGATAATTCAGTTCATATTTCTAGTCGAGATATAATCATATTATTAACTTACCAAGAAAACCGACAACATAAGCGTTAAAACAAGTATATATCATGATCAAATACCATGGTGGTTGGAAATCATCGTTGGATTTATATGTTAAAGCAATCAATAAAATAAATGTTATGCCAATTGAAGCCCACCAAGTCCATATGCTAAATTCATATAATTAATTATTAGTAACAATTATTCATTGATTAAATAAAATAAAATAAAACTTACTGTCTTTGAAGGAAATGTCTCCAATCATACATATAGATAAGTAAGGCTGTTGTAAAGGTAACTGCGACAAGTTCACTAGTAAAAATTACCCAAACCTTACGAACGAATGCTATAGATAAATGAATTTGTTAAACGTTCAGTTATTTTCAAATTTTAACTGCAATCTAATTCAAACAATACCCATTTGAACAGATAAACTAGATAAGAATACTGGTTTTCCAAAAGGATATAATGGGCTGCTCTCGTCATCTGTAATGTTTTCGTCAAAAGTTTGGACACTTCCTGTAGTTGGGTGAAAGGTTTGATAAGACATTACTAGAGAGAATGTTGAAAATTTTTTGGTCGATTAATTCTACTTATCCAATAAAACGGCATCAAAAAAAAAAATTTCTTTTCGTAATTTTGACCGGCGTTATATGCAACCTGCTGGCATTAAGAAATTAATACAAATACAGTAAGAAAATAATTTTTAAATTAATGTTAAATCCGAATATAGTTAATTTTAAAAATCATATTTAGCAATTTATATAAAATAATTTTAAAATAAATTATATTTTCAAATAGTCTAATAATTTTAAATGTTTTTGTTTAAAAAAAATTATATATTTAGTTTAAATAATTTATTAATCAATAAATTACATAAAATAAATTGTATAATATTTTTTACCTAACTTAAATAGATTGAAATATTTAATTAATTAAGTTATAACTAAAGATGACACTATAACTAGTTGTAATCATGTGATGCTTATTTGTCATCAGTTACAATTAATTGCAACTCAATTTTTATTAATATTGTAATTAGTTACAATCTTATGATGCTTATTATTACCAATTGTAACTAGTTACAATAGCCCTGTTCAATTCTAGATCAGACTGAATTGATCGCAAATTTGTGTTCTTAGATAATTGATTGTTTATGCGATCAGCAGTAGAGTTCCGGATGAGTTGAGTTAACTCACGAGTCAGATAAGCTGAGTCGAGTTCAAATCAAGTCGAGTTGGTGTTTTTTTTGACTTAATGATTTGCGAGTCAAGCCAAATTCGAGTCAAGTTAAATATTTAACTCGACTCGATTTAAACTCAACTTGATTCGAGTTGACTCGAGTTGACTTGAACGATAAAAAAATCGTTCAAGAAGAACGATAAAGAATCGTTCGACTTGAACGATAAAAAAATCATTCAAGAAGAACGATAAGGAATCGTTCGACTTGAACGATAAAAAAA